CATTTGGTAAAATGAAAAATACAATTTTATTTTTAGTACCGTGAACGAAATATGGGTGCCATGTGCAACCAGGCGATCATGTTGGTCACTGATGGTGTACCAGAAAACTTCTATGAACTGTTTAAATCACATAACTGGAAGAATGGTACAATGGGTATGCCAGTAAGAGTATTTACGTATCTAATTGGTCGAGAAGTTCCAGAAATAAGAGATATGAAATGGATGGCTTGTGCAAATCATGGTAAATATTTTATAAATCGATTATCTGACATTTTGAGTTGAACTGAGTTGAATTGATGAAAAATTATATTGGGCGGTATTAAACTTTAATAATTCAATTGAAAATAGATAATAAGAACGACAAACTTTTTTAATTTAGGGTATTTTGTTCATTTAAGTACGGTGGAAGAAGTTCGAGAACAAGTGGTACACTATTTACCGGTAATGGCTAGACCCTTGGTGTTGCACCAATCCCATCATCCGGTTATTTGGACGCCGTTATACGCTGATGTTACTGTAATCATACTCTACATTTAATTACTAGTTCAAAAATAAAAAATTGGTATTTTTTTTCTAGGATCCAAAAATGACTGATTATTTATGGGAAAAAGAAGAATGTCAACAACAGTATGATGATACGATCAGTTATAAACGAACAAAAGACAAATTTTTCTATCCAAAGAATAGAGCGAAACGAGAACGAGATCGAAGAAAAAAAGTAGGCACATACTTATATATTTTTTTAACTAAACTATATTGTATAATGTTTTTAGGAGTTGAATCAAAATTTAAACGTGAATAGACAAAAAAAACACAATTTAATAACGTCTCTGGCGATGCCGGCATTCGACAAAAAAACTGAAATGGTAAGTTTATGAAAAATAATTTTTGAAGTCACATCAACATTCAACAATCATCTATTGCAACCATTGATTCATTTAATTTCGTTTACAAATGCATTTTAGAAGGATAAAAGCTGTACATTATTTTGGAACACTTTCAAAATATTAATATTTTGTATTCCAAAGCAATATTGAATTATTATTTATCTCACATAATTTAAATTATTTTAACACATACCACATTAAAATATTATACAATATATATAATTTATATATATACATAAATATATGCATAGTCACAGTGCCGTAGTAAGACGGAGACTGGGAGCGTATGTTTTCCTTCTCTTCCTCAACTTTTTTTTATGGGTAATTGTAAATAGTCAAAGTGTTCCTATAAAATACTGAACTATCTTAAATTATTATTTATTGTTAAGACAAATTATCAATAAAAATAATTCATCATTATTACCTACCTAACTACCGATTTATTACAAAAAAAGAATTAAATGATCTAAATAAACTTATCAAAATTTATGTTTATTTTCAAATGCTATGCATACTATGGGGAGATAATGATTTTGGTATCGTTTCGTTGAATTGTTACATAGGAACAAGTTTGCTAATTTCGAACTTTTATTTTCAATTTGGACTGAAACTGGAACGATTTTGACGATGGAATCTTTAAGGTTTAAGTCTAAACGTGAAATTTTTAAAAATCAGTTGTACAACTTGTTCTTTGTTAATAACTTAAAAAGTAAGTAGATGCCTACAGTAAAAAAAATATTGATTTTTATGAAATGCAGTTACCCTTAAGAAAAAGTTCTGGCTACGGCACATCATAAAGTGTCATATTGTTATAGTGAACTACATTACTTAAGTAATTAACTAGATTAAATAACATAGTTTTTATGATACTGCAGCTGGATACTGTAAAACACAATATTTTTAGATATTTTAAGCACTATAAGCAGTAAGCACTGAGAAAAATAACTTGTCTACAGAACACATAGATAAAATATCAACACCTAAAATACTTGACAAGGGTGTAATATGTATATTTTATGTTTTCTAATAATTTCAGGGATGAGTCCAATGTGTGATCTTAACTATTTTGCACTATTCTATTGTATATCCTATCACTATGATTTACAGATCGGTGTATAATCCATGGTTTTTGAGTGACGAGAGTATTATATTCCTCACCACTGATGAATGTGGATATTTGTATCTCCCTATCTATAAGTTATTATAGTGTTTGTCGACATCTCTTTTCGACTACAAAAAATCGACGTTGTTATTAAATCATTTAAATATTATAAAATTTGGAACATCTAACACAATTATTGTTAGTTACCTGTAAATCAAACGATTTTTTGCAACCGTTAAAAAAGCCATGATTTATCGAAGATTACCGTTTTTTGGTAGATCATACATTGGTCTAGTCTCGAGTTTTAATTATTGTTGATTCAAAAATAAGTGCGTGTTAGGCTTTTGATTTAATAATAATATTATTTATAAATAAATATATAAGTAACTAATAAAATAAGAATATTAGGTTTTTAATATTATAAACTATTTATCTATTATTAAGTTAATTAATCTCAATTTTTCTATTATAGGTATTTATTATTTTTGTTGAAATATGTATAACATCTTTTATACAATATTAGTTTCATTAAAATGACCTTGAATTGAATTAAAACCAGTAAAATGTATACATTTTAAACTTTATATTAGGCAGTAAATTATATTCTTACGTGTATAGGTTATAGTGGTTATCTGTTTTGTTACATCTACTCTCCAAAAAGTAAAAACATATATATTATTATATACAGTATGCGTATTTTTTAAAGCATTTTTTACAGATTTTTTACTTGCAAATTGTTAAAAAAAATATTTAATATAACTTTTAAAAAAAAGCTCATACTAAACATGTTTAATAATTATTTCCCAACAGAATATCACAGTAAGAAGGCTAATAAATGATAACTACTGGGTTTGGGAAACAAGAGAGGTATTTAAAAATTCAGCAGGTAGTCTGCGATATTTTTTTGGTCATCCTTAGAAAAATCTTAATATTTTTATAGTAATCATATTTTATTATAATAGTACTATTTCTTTATATTGTGAAACTTATTCTTCTATGTGACAATTCTGTATCTATTATCAACTATATTATATAGGTATTGTATTATTAGTAATTAAAATTAACTGTCGTCAAATATTGGTACCTACCTATCGCATTGGATAGATTAAATGTAACAATTTAGAACGCCTAGAGTTCTAAGCTTAGCATTAATATTTTGTTAGATAGAATATCTAAATAATGGTGATGGTATAGGGACCTAATACGTTTTAATTATATTTATTTGGGTACCTAGTTAGAAATAATAGTTAGAACTAATATTTGGTTTCAAATAGATACTTGGCCTGATTGAAACCCAATTCAATTTTTAAAAGGCGTTTTTTATATTTTAGTCAAAGACTAGCGCGTAGAGAATCAATAGTTATTTGATTTTTAAGTACGTAGTAGATAATATTATAAACAAGAACCTTAAATTGATTTAATTTAAGCATTATAGAGTAGACCAATTTAATTTTATGTTGTTAGTATTATTTCATTTTTTTGTTGAAAAATATAACTATAGCTAGTGTGCGGTTTTTAAAAAGGTTACTTACTTTAAATTTCGCACATTTATTATTAATAAATTATTTTTTCAACATATTATAAGTAAACAAGTTTCATGTTTGCAGACAAAAGTGGCCCATTTACTTGGTGTTGTTGGAACTGATGTTCCCGAAGCAGACTTACGAGAAGCCATGTCACCTCACATAGTTAGTGAAATGTGTCTTTATAACATTAATAATAGTTATACTATACCTATTTATTTGTTTTTTCAGTTGGGTGTCAATAACTATGCATTTATCGTTACTAACAACGGTTTCATTGTCACACATCCAGATCTCAGACCAGTTGTAAGTAAATTATAATTTAGATGTATTATTGAATATTTTATAGAACGCATATGTAGTTATTACAAGTATACATTTGTGTTAAAGAATAAAAAGGATAGAATAAAATAAAAATAAAAATATTTAACAATTCTATTCCGCTGTTCCTCATTTATTTTTTTAATAAAAAAGACAATGGACGCTGGCCATATAACATGACAACAAAAAATCAGGCATTTCTGACACTACTTCTCTAACATTTTTCAAGCACTTCTCGACATCGCAATATAATTAATACATCTACCTTTAAATTATGTAGAAAAATATTATCAATCCAATTGCCCATGCGTAAAGAATAAAGATACATGAAGTTGAAGATCTATTAATTGTATAAATTCGTTCCCATAAATGAATGTCATGACTACCGCTGGCAGTGATTGTCACGGTCGAAGTTGTTTAGCAGGCTTATATCGATTTCGTTGGATTTTTATTTGTCCGATCCTCTTCACCTATCGATTTTTCCGAGTCTTATATTGAATAAGTATGTGATAAATATTAAAAATTATAAGCTTTAAAAGCACCTGTAGTTGGTACCAACTTGTACTTAGTTTGGAGAAAAACGTTTATCAAACATTTGACCGTGTCACTTATCAGGTACATTACTTTAACCGTGCAACACCTTTCCACCATCGTATATTTTATTTTTTAAACCTCTGCGATCGATTTTTCTCTACTTTTCAACAAATGTCTATATCGATAAATAAAAATAAATCCATGTTAAACTTACTATCTAAAATGGATACGGAGTATAAATTGTATATAAATTCTAAAAAAATATATGTATCAGTTAATCACACAAGTCTTATATTCTTATGAAATCTTGATCATATTTATAACACAATTTTTGTTCACTTTATATCTGATATAATACGAATTACCTATTGATTTTTATGTATACATCTATAGTTTTTTGTTTAATGCTTATAAAATATGAATAACCTGATAAATACGTTTATACATTTCAAAATAAAACATATTTATTAGATAAGATATAGGTTAGCGAAATTTCAATTCACAAAAATGAATATTTTTAGTTTGGAGATATTCTGAAGCCAAACTACAACAGCATTGATGTGACGGAAGTGGAACTTGTCGAATCCGACAACATCGCAAGGGTGTTTGACCGAAGTATACTTACGGTTAGTACAAGAATAAACTTTACATGATAGGTGTTTATAAATATTAATTTTGTTATTCAAATGTATATCTACCGCTGTGTGTATGATCGCTATCCAAAGAATGGATATCCCTGGTATCCTGGGTACGTATACGGAAAGTATCTGGGATAATATGTGTTCATCATAGGAAACGGATACATCATTAAAGGACTTTGGTAGTACGATTGATCGGCATTCATGTCGTCCACCATGTTGGAACTAGACGTCACTAGAACGTCTTCCGGGACTTGACGGATCTTGGGTTTCCGATCAGTTCTTAAACGATTATGTTCGACAACAGCTGATTCATTTTGCTTGACGATGGAGGCCGTGATGTTTTTTTTAAATTCCGCAGTCTTATTATGTGGTGTAACAACCTTTTCATCATTGGTAATTGCTGGATTGTCAGTCTCGAGAAGAGCTGTTGTTTCGTTCTGTGCCAAAAGAATGTTTTCGATGACACTACTTGGACCCTCGGACTTCTGAATAACGGTTTTGCAATCGATACTAGAAAAAGTAGCTACAGCTAAACAAACCACCTATTAATTTACGAAAAAAATATGATTAGCATACCTATTATATTAAAGTTATTGTCAATAAATTATTTATTTATATTTGATTATATTTTAACCCAAATCAGTTGTTGGAAATAACGATTTTAGCCAAATTTGTAATTTTTCTATAGTGTAAGTACCTACATAAAATGGTTCAAATAAAAACTTAAAATGCCCTTTAAAATTAAAATCATAATAACTAAATTTCACTATTTAATAAATAACACGATGAAGATAAAAATAGCAATACGATTTTGTACAGTAAGTGTCAAATGGGTTACTGTCATGGTTGTGTTAAATTTTAAATCATTGATGTATAATATCTCATGAGAAAACTTTCATTAAATTTTTTAACTTTTTGACCCAACAATTTTTTTTTAATTGACATTTATAGAAAAATAACAAAAATTGAAAATTAATAATGTCTAATAATAGCTTCTATTATATTCTAATATTGCCTTAATGAGTATTATTCATAATAAATACTTTTAGTGTACTCATAATAAAATAACATCATAAATCACTATTCACTACATATAATTGTTGACATTGAATCTTTTCACCAAAATAACAATAGTGGGTGCATATATTATAAATAATTAAGTACACTAATACAAAAATATAATATCATAGGTTGTTAAAATTTAACTTATACTTAGAACTCCCCCAAAGTTTTTCAGCATATTATTGTTTATATAATATATTTTATTTTATAGTTACCTTAAGTTTATACACCATCTATTATTTTATTAAAAAAAAATATATATTGATGAATAAAATTTACTTACAAGGATTCGAATCATTGTTCAATATTATAAATGGTTATTTCGAAAAGGTACTTAAACTATAGTCGACGAAACAAACATAAATGGCGTCTTCTGAAATTATTGTACCGTCTTATATAATATTATGATGTTGGTAATTTTTCCAGTTCATCAAAACCATGGTCACTGGGTATAAACGAATGTCAGTTGAACTAGCTTAACTAATCAATTCGATGTTTTCCGCTAAAATGAATGTTTTATTTAAAACCATATAAATCGCATTGTGTTCACGCATCCAAAACTAAATGTTTTGTCTTTTGCGCATTTTACAGCTTCGTGATTACATCATCAATCAAACAACTGGTGATCGAGAAATTACTGTGAAGTATCATTACGACAACATGGTAAATCATTTATTAATAAATAAAATAATTAATCAAATTTTACATCACAATTTTTTTCTAAGAAAATATATTTTATATGTTCACAATTTAATCTGGTTCTCTCATATCTATACATATTAAATTTGTTACTATGTGATTTATAAAAAATTGTATCTAGACTAAATTCAAAATATAGTTAAATATAATATATGTAATACTGATAATAATACTTGATTACTATTCAGACTATTGACTAATAAATAATAATGAATACAATTTGTTTTTATTAATAATATGACAATAAATTGTTATCACAACAACTATAGTATGAATTACGAAAAAGTTAATACATCTATACATAGAAAAATAAGCAAATTTGATTGAATTTGTAGAATTCATAAATTACTGATTAAAATTAATAATATATTGTATTGTTTATGTTTAAAAGAGACGAGCGACAACAGCAGAAAGACATTATTATTATTCAATTGTTGAAGGAACGCCTTTTACAGTTGTGGTCGCTTTACAAGAAAAGCACTTCGGTTACAGAGTCAAAATACCAGACAGATATCAGAACATCAATACAACAAGTAATTCTTGATAAAAATAAACTAATCGATTAAATTTAATTTAATTATGTGATGTATACAATATATAGGATCATCCCTTTTGGACTATTTCAAAGACGATGAGTGGAGAATTCATCCAGATTGGTAAATTATATATTTGAATATTTCATTTTCACTCTACAAAATTGACACACAAATATAAATACATTCAATATATTTGTATAAATAAGCACTGGTCGATTTCGTTTGCATTAACCAGTGTATTTAAACTAATTTTTTTTATTAAGAAATTTCAATTAAAGTTGTCATTGTTTTGTTATTGAATTTTTTCACCGTACATATTGTACATACTATTAGTTTATAGTTTTTTACTGGGAAATCACAAATTATTCGGCTACAAATATTTTTGCATTGCAGATCGTATGGATTTTAATACTATATTCATTCAAATTGGGGTGCATTTGTTATTTATTTTCAGGCTTTATTGTCGATATGCGTATGATGATGGAGATGATACGTCATTTAAAACCCCCGAAGATGAACTTAGGCATTTTTTAAAGCGAATCACCAAAACCGATAATACTTGGAATAAATGGCCACCTCCAAGATTTTACAGCGAATCATACGACTGTAAGTATACCTACCTTCAAATAACCTGCTACCTATAGCTATATATACCTATCTTATTTCTTAAAATATAACATTAAACATGTATACACACTAATAACAATACCTTAAAATATTATATGTATTAGATTTATAAATAATGATGTAATATATTCTTAACGAGCTCTAGGATTAGTAATTATTTGTTTTCGCAGCAAAAGGGGCAACGTTGCCCGAAGAAAAATTCGATTGCAAATGTTATTGTGAGTTTAGTGTTAATATTTTTGCATGATCAAGCTTGATCGCAGTGTTTTGTGCAAGTTTAAAATTGTGAAGTTTAACATTTATTTTATTTTATTAATCGGTGTGTTTGATTTTTATAATTCTGGACACTCAAACTCAAACATGTTTTACCGCTTTATTTTTGTGTGATATTATAAAATATTGAAATGTTCTCATGAAAATATTAAAAACGACGTTACATTTTTAGATTTTGAGCAAATCGATCAAATTATTTTTTAGTATTGGTTTTACAATGATTTGTGTTTTTTTAAACCAATTTTTTTTCGTTTGTGTCTGTCATCAAGTTTTGCTAAGCAACTGCTTAACTTTCAATTTTGAGAGTGATTTCTTATAACAAGTTGGATCTAGATGGTTTTTTTGGGGGGTGGGGGGAGTTTGGGGGCTTAGATTAAATACTAAGTACATTAAATTAACATGGAAAAAAATATATTCATGCATAGAAATATTAAATGAATAATAACTAATAAATAATGTTTAATAGTCTAATCTGATAATATAAGTATTATTTAATGTATAATAGTTGTACTTAAAAAATATTAATAATCATTATAATATTATAAATCAAAAAATATACTAATAACAAGAAAACAAATTTTACTTACTTACATTTTCAAAAAAAAATGGTTCTCTCATAGCAAAATAGATAAACTATTTGTTTTTGTTACTATCATTAGATCATTAATAAAAAAAACAAATCATTGGATCGTAATAAATTATCATATTTTTTTTTATTAAAGAAAAAGCCTAGATGACGTAACCATTGGCTTGTTTTACATAATATGGTTTTTAATAATTTTAAATAAACTGTACAATCCAATTTCTTATTATATTTTATTTTAATATCTGTTTAATTAATTTTTTTTTCTTAGTATTGGATATTTTTTAATGTTAACATGTAGGTATTTTTTATGGCTATAGTATATTATTATGTATTCATTATTTACATACCTTACTTTTATTCAAATATGAAGTTATGGGGGTTGATGATTTTAAAAGTAGGCGTAGAGTGTGTGTTTTATTATAATACCTACTCGTGTTTAGGTATTACTAAATTTCCAAAAATATTTAATCCTCATTTCTCACAATAAATAACAAACAGATAATAACTACTATGACATTTATAAATTCTATTAATATCGTGTTTGTAAAGTAATATTTACCATGCATAAATTATATTATTTCTTGATTCAATTTTGTTCATCGACCATCGTCCATGAACAATATAAAGTACTTTTTTTTGGGACCCATTAGTTATCTATTTGTATATATCTATATACAATAAAATTATACCCCGACAACCTTCTTCAAATGTTTATAAATAAGAATTTTTTTTTGAAATTCATATAAATTATTCATGTTAGTTATAAATTATAATACATTGCACCTTGGTTTAAAAAATGTACACATTTTTTTATTGTGTTGGTATTTGTGTTCCATTATACTTTGGCTTTGATATTATTCGCTTGCAATATACAACAAACATAAAGCAAATATAACAATGTATAACTCGTAAACTAAAGAATTTCAAAATAAAACTATCCAAACAGCATGGCTTACAATAAATAACATGAATTATGACGCATGGACTTGCAGTAACAAGTACTTAAAGTTTATTGTTTTCAGGTGACAAAGATCTAATGCTTAGTTTGATATACGACGCGAATATGACTAAAGGTATTTTTACAGAAGCTAAAAATGATACAGAAAAGAAAAAAAAGTAAGTTATTTTGTAGACTTGTAATTTTAGCTTGATTTTTAAATTCACGAATTAAACTGCACAATATATAGTTAATAAAATTAAAAGTTATAAAAAAATATTTGTGCAATAACGTTTTTTTGGAGTTTCTTAATTCAGCATAAGCTACTCTATCTTGTAATTTTCTAACTTTCTATATGCTTGTTTTAATATTTATGTCTTAATGTTAAATTATATATACCCAATACGCATAAAATAAATATTCCTGAATTCTTCATTGTCTTGATTTTATCAAAATATATGAAAGCAATTTTACTTGCAATTTTACTAAATAGTATCCGAAAAAATGTTATTATATTATTGGCTTATTTGTTAGTTTTGAGCAAAATTAAAAATCACAATACATTTGCACAACTCACGCGCTTTTTATATATACTCACTTTGATATTTTTCACGTTAACACATCGCACTATTTTGTCTTAATGAAGTCCAGCAGCGGTCTTGATGAGTTTATTGCCAAGGTAAAGTAATTGTATAGGTCAGTTGAACAAATTTAATGAAAGTCGATTGCTATTTATGTGTTTTTAGGACTGAATTTGAAAAGAGATTTGGTGTGACATTGGCTTTTGTTGCTACCCATAGTGGTCTCACCCGATGGATGGATTATGAAGACAAACCTAAAACACAAAAACCGTAAAATTTAATATTCAATAATCTAGCATTCGTGCTATACGTTATCGCATATTACATACATTTTCTTCAATTTATAGACATTTCATTAACGAAAACGTTTACTCTATTGAAGAAGTATGGTATAGAAGGGCGGTTGAATACAACATGGTAAACGATGAAAGCTATGTATATTCTGTACCATTTGATAATGGTAAGTAATCGCTACACTTTAAGAATTATATTTAATAAACTTATTGGGTACAATTATAAAAACCGTTATTAAAAAAGTAGGAACCCATGTGTGTATTTTGTCAAAAAATTGTTGACTTATTTTCAAATATTTTAATTTTATGGAATTCAAATAACATACATAATTACAATTCCGTTTATTTATTAACCAGGTACCCGAAATAAATTTAATTTAAAAGTTTGAAATTTTAATAGACAAATATATATATATACATTTTTTTTTTAATAATTAAATATTTCAAACAATTATATATATTTTTTAAAAATTTAGAAAACATTAAATCAACATTGGTAACAGCAAGTCAAGCGGTTTTCGTCACAAGTAAAGAAAATAAAAAAAAAGCGGCTGCTGCAGTTGTAGGTTATCAATTCAGACACTCAGCTCTTCAAGAATTGTTTTCGAACATTACAAAACAGGTAAATTGTATGATGATATTTTTAAACCATTGTAGACTGGTTAAATAAAACAAATTTTTTATAACAATGATCATAGTGTTACTCAGAAACTGGCTGTACACCGGCAAAGGACACCTGTCAATCCTTAGAACGAGATTGTTACATACTTGATAATAATGGTTATATTATTGCATCGGAAAATGCATTAGATACTGGAAAGTTCTTCGGTAACGTCAAAGGACCAATTATGAATATGATGGTAGAAGAAAACATTTACAAAAAAATAACAATATTCGACTATCAAGGAGTATGTTTTAAGCGAGAAAATGAGGATGATTCAAATAGTTCGTCGTTTTTGTATACTGTAAGTGGTCAATTAACTATTATAATTTTGAAAATCCACTTTCCCAAAATTTCTCGATACTAAAATTCTTAGTTTCCGTTCGCTTTTCTTTGCAATTATAAAGGATCCCTTAGATATCATGCATTTTAAAGTTAAGGGTAACTTCTCAATGTAAATTTTCTACCGTAATGTTTCTCTAACTTTACTAATTTACATTTTCTGTAATTAATGAGCTGCAATTTTTAACAATAAAGATGATTTAAAGCAAATCATTAATTGAATAGTCATAAAAAATAATGTTATCAATTACGCGGCGTTATAGATAGGCTATTTAGCTACACCACTGTCATGTGTCCATTTTTCCGGTGTCTCAAAGTATATTGTGGCCCATGTACACTTTAGAAAAATCTTATTGTAGCTTAGATTTTTCGGGATGCTAGATGTTAATTTTGAATTGTTGGACACTTCTTCTAGTATACACTAATTAATAATTCCATTAGCACCTCCCTGGTTCCATTAATACAGTAATACAGTAAAAGCTGTCAGTAAACAAACAAAGAATACGTATTTTTGTATAATATAATATTCGATTTTTAAAAAGTTTAATTAATGCATTTTTTTTTTATAGCCAATACATCATTTAAAAAAACTAATTGGATGGCTAATAGGGCGTGTGTTATGGTTGGCTGCTCATTCCAATTTTCAATGGATGGTGTCTCAGGCTCAAGCCATATTCGAAGACGGTTAGTATAGTTATTTTTACACTTTAAACATTATGGCTGTTATGTTCACTTAAAGGAATTTTGATTGTGGTATTTAGTTCCTGACTACCAAGAAGACGAAGAGACTATATACACTGCAGATACATTAGCCAGTTTTAAGATTGAAGGTGAAAAAGCATTAAAATACGTCAGAATTAATCGAACTCGACCGAAATCTTGTGATCGTTCCGTCAATTTGTACACGCTAACTTCGAAGATTCTAGATAAGGCTGAACATAAATCTATGTGTGCCAGGTAATATTATAATATCAAATACATTTTTATCTAAAACTGAAAATGTTTAAAATTTGCTGTGGGGTTCTGATATTAGAGCTTCTTCTCCCTCCCCATCCCCTCTCAGTGTGCCGCCGATTTACCTGGTGGTATTTCTCGTATAACTATAACCTATTGAAAAGTGATAAAGTCACAACCATTGGCGCACGTACGGTAATGCTGTCGCATAATAGTATAGTTTACTTTATGAAAAGCCCCTTTTAAAGGAGGGAACTCTTTTATTTATTTTATCACTTTATAACTCATACAACTATCAAAAATGTTAATTGTTGACAATTTTTTTTATACTTGTTGTAATTCAATTAAAAAATAATTTATACATTTTTGATTTGATTGTGCATCTTAGTTGATAGCACACTAAAATAACTTTAAAATTAAAACAAAATCACGATAAAAATTTATAAAGTTTCAAAGATACTTCAGCAAATGTGTGGTAGCTTCAGTTTTGTTAAAAAAAGTTAAATTGACCTAATACTTAAAATAATAGAAGATTTAGATCCCCCTCTCTCTTCGAACCTATCTATTGTAGCAAATGTTGCCTGATTGGCAAAAATCAGTTGACTTCAATGATAAGAACAAGACAACTATCATTTATAGTTGTTGTTTAATTAGTAAATAAATATAATATTCTCTGGTAATAAAAATAACTATAGGTGTTTACCCCAATGGATGATTAGTAACGAAAACATTATAGGTACAAATTAAATTAAATATTACAGGAGAGAGGGAGACAGTTACGTTTAATTTTAATTACAAATTATTTAAAATGTTTAACCCACGTCTTAACTCTTAAATATCTAATCCTACATATTATAATATTATATCTAAATATATATCTATATATCTATACCTTTATAGATGCCCATCTGCTTATGTTGTATAATATTTGTTCTTAACAGGCCTTATGAATTGCGAAAAATAATGAACACCAACCTTGTCTTGCTAGTCGTCAATGGTCGTTGTCCAGAAACAACGAAATCCGAAAATTTTGATACAATACCGGATGAAGTTAAATATGAAGAGTTCAATAATTCGTTGAATTGTCACAAAGCGTTTTATAGTTTACCACGGCGTAGACCTAAAACCGCTTGCATTAGGACACATCCAGACGTAAGTTTTGTACATTCCAATATTATTATAACTGTCACCAATAATATAAATATTAATTTATGTACTAAAAATTCACCGTTTCATGTACCTATAGCCTATAGGTACCATGTGTATGTGATAATACATATTTTATACATACGTATGTAGTTAATATAGCCATATAGGTAGACTGCGCTACTACAGTACACAAACAACTGAAAAAATCCATGTAGATACTTTTTGAATCAAACCGGTTTAAAACTGTTTAAAACCATTTTATTAAAAACAACTTTTTGGACTCATAAAAATTTAAAATGCTTTCTAGTGATCCGTTTAACGTAAGACAACGTTAAAAACGATTTATGTTTTTGAAAATATTTGTTTTATGCTCTTTAAAATTGTTAAGACTAACATTTAAAAAAATATGCATATTTTTTATCATTTGTAATGTAAACATTCGTTTTTAATTCATTCTTCCAAAGCAGAATATTTTTTGGAGAATTTCGATTTATAAAAATCGAATTTTCAACAAGTCGTTTATTCGTTATAACTTATAACTTATGAGTACTTAAAGTTTAGATGAGCGGAGGGGAGTGGTAGTAGTGGTACACATTACAGGGGTACCGCGATCAATGTTAGGCCACTACAGCTATCCGCTTATCATAACTTTAAATACTTAAAACGAATAAATTATTTGTCCAAAATTTGATTCTTATTGATAGAAATACTCCAAATAATATTCTTTTTTTGAATATGGAATTTAAAAAAATACATTTTGTCATTCGAAATAGTAAAAAACTTTTAAAAAAATAAATAAGTATCAGTATAATTTTTTATAAAAAAATTCTGGGAATGAAATATTTTCAAAAATCCTTGGCATTTACTGAAATAAAGGCTCTCTTACATTTAATGGACCACTCTAATAATGTCATATTATATTACACTAGGTATAAGTTTATGTAATAATTTGTTCTAACCATGGTCAATGATGGGCACTGTAATGAAATGATTGATATAATTTTAATGTTTTTCTTTTTAGGAACATGAAATTTACGACAAAATGTGTGGCAAGGGTACAATAACTGCAGTTACGCCAATAACTATATCAATCATTTTTTTTTCTATGATTAATTTTATAAGGTTTTTATAATTTTTTAATTCTAAATCAAAAATTTAAATTCTCTTACCTACTTATATTGTATTGACAAATATTGTTCATGAAGTTATCCTCGATGTTCAATATTTTGTCTATTGCGTCTATTACAATTTAATATACGTTAAATCTTGCTATTATAATTTTATGATATTATTACATTTTGATGATGGTAAATATAGAATGTTTAATATTTTCTACCAATTAGAATACATAATATTATTATCTACTCGATACTCCATACATTATCAGTTAACTTAATATATATTGCTATTATTAAACCTTTTATATTATTATGTAATTGTAAAAAAAAAAATGTATCTTACCCAATGGCCTAGTCGCTGAGGGTTAAATCTTTAATAAAAAAAAATATACATATATATATTGCGCATAATATTTTGAGTCTTTGTGTAGCATAATAATATTATGAACTCAGTTTTAAAAAATAACCAATTATGTTGGTTACCTAGCATGAAGTAATTCACTTAAAACAATATTGGATGAAAACAATTATGATTACTACTATACTGACTGTAGTTCGATTTTGGTTTATTCTATAACAATGATACTATTTAGTACCTACTACCTATGAAAAGTTCTTGACATATGGGAGAAAAAAAACTTATACTCTATTCAATGAGAGAACACACCGTGTTTCTAAGCGAAAATATGTTCTTCTATTCCACACCTTGCATAATGGAATCGATCTCAATGGCAGGGTGTTATGTGGGGATGTGGAGAATTGGAGCGTTCTTTAGCTGAACAGAGTATAAAGTATAAAACTATAAACCCAGCCTTGGGTATAGCTAATAGATACTTAAAATAAATGACTGTTTACTATTTTAATTTAAACAAACATAAGTAAGAAGAAAAGTAGAAATTATAAGATTGTAAATAACACAGCAAATAATCATACATACTCTATCCCAAATAAAAATGGTGGTCGGCGGTCAACTTCTGCACATTACACAAACAGGGGCATGGATTAATACACAGATATTAGACTCGGTTGGTGATATACGAGTGATGGCTGACTGCTTCCTTACAAAAAATGGTAGCTGCCGCTTACTGTTCTTACTTGGGATAGAGTTTAGTTATAATTCACTGACCAAAGTTTATAATATTAGCTATAACAATATTTTAAATTGTAATTGTTGTCTTGCTAAAATTACAATTGTATTTTTGATGTTAAAAAACACATCATTGTAAAACCAAAAAATTCCTTGCTCTGTTCAGAATATTAAATATATTAAATATCAATGAAGAAATAAGTATTAGCTAATTTGATTTTTAGTTGACATAATATCTATGAATCTTAATAAATAAATAAATAATTGATTGAAATTATAATATAAACTACAAACAGAAAAAATCAATAACTATATTGTAATTGTTTTAATATTTATATTATACCAAACATATTATATACAATTAACTTCAAACTTAACCAAATAACTTGCAACTCTATATTAATTGAAGAACAGTTTTAATTTTGTTTTGAAATACTTTCAATAAATTCATCAAAGAGTATTTTATTTGCCCTTTCTTGTAACTCATTGACAACCTTATCCAAATATTCTCTGCCTTCTAAAAAACCAACTAAGTTATGAAAACTTTTAGACAGACGATGATCGGTGATTCGATCTTGATTAAAATTGTATGTTCTAATTTTTTCTGATCTTGCACTAGAACCAACCTGTTTATAACATTTTAACATAATATTAATTAATATATTATTGAATAGAAATTAAAATTAAAAATAATAATCACTGGTTAATTAAGCTATAAAGTTTTGAAGAATTTACTTGTTGTTTTCTAGCAGATCTAGTCAATGATTGTTGTTGTTCGAGTTGTCTTTTATAAATGATTGCTCTTAATTTTTGTAATGCTATTTTTCTATTTTTAATTTGTGATCTGTCTGTCTGACACTCGACTACAACACCTGATAATGATATAGAAATATTGTAAGAGATAATATTGTCAAATAACGAGAACTGAACATTTTACTTGGAATTTTATTTTTACCTGTTGGCTTATGGTGCATTCTTATAGCACTGTCCGTTTTGTTAACATGTTGGCCTCCTGCACCAGATGCTCGCTTAGTTTCTATAACTAAATCTCGGTCATTAATCACCACATCTAACTGAAATAAAAAATCATTTTTTAATAAATAATTATGAGAAATTTAATATTGATATTAAAATACATAAACCTGTATACTAATTTATCAAATAGAATATTTTTTAATATAGTTGTTATAATTCTTATGTCGGGTTGCATGGACGATAACCAAAAATTTAATGAATCAGTAGTGAGGTCCCTAAAACATGATTTAATGTACCACGGTAGGTTCATTAAATCAATACATTTATCATACAACTCAGCATTGGTATACTTAGGTACATATTAATGCTTTTAATAAATTAATCATTAATATAGGTAATATGAATGCTGTTAATCTGTTATTGTCAATGTGATGTTTAAGTCAATCATAATATTCTGTCTTGGTATTTTTAAATTATTGATAATTAATTACTTCGGTTGGCTGAGGTAATATGGCTACTGTCACGGTACTAGTATGAATTCTTCCAGACTTTTCTGTTTTTGGAACACGTTGAACTCGATGTACACCACCTTCATGTTGCAGCAAACTATAACAATCATTGCCCGACAGCATTAGACATGCATGGCGTATACCTCCTATTGAACCACATACATGAAAAACATTAGATAATATATTAAAATAATATACAATTCCTGTTTCTGAGTATATCTAAATATTTACCCATTTCAGTATGGCAATAGTCAGCTACTTCACTTTTCCATCCTCTATACTGTGCAAAAGAATTGTACATTTCAAAAAGTTCTTGTGTGAATATCATTGCTTCTTGACCTCCTACTCCAGCCGTTATTTCCAACATGACATCTTCACAATTAAATTCTTCATTGGGTACTAATGAACTTAGAAGCTGATACATTTTTTACGATTATAAATATTGTAGGTATACTATCAATGATTTAAGTATCAAATTGAATAAGTATTATAACACATACTTCTAGTTCTAGTTTTGTCAATTGCTCTTCGTGAGACTTTTTTTCTTTTTGTAATTGTTCGCCAAATTCTTTGTCTTTTTCTTTTTCTTGATTAACAAACACAATACTATAAGTCATAAATATTTAAAATTTGAATACATGATATATTTTGTATGAAAAATATATAATATTATGCTGACCTGTATCAAATTCATTAAGTGATTGTAAATCAACTTTTAAAGAACGTATAGCAGATATTAAAGCAGACACGTTAGGTTTAGACATGCTTTCCGAGTAATCTTCGGATATAAGTTTATTCAAATACGACCGTACTCCTGAATTTCTTAACAGCTCACTAGAAATTCCATTGGTTGTCGTAGCCAAAGAAGAATATGAATGACATACTAAGAACTGATGATTTGAAAGTGATGGTCGAACGCTTTTAATCGGCCACAGGGTTCTATTATACAACCCAAATATATATCTGCTATTGAAGAACTTCATATTTGATAAAGACAACAAGAAATAAACGACAAACGCGGTATAAAACTAACTATAAAGACGTAAATAGTTAGGATGAATAAAATGGCATTGCTGTAACTGGAAGTTGAAATATTTATAATAATTATTAATTGGCAAAAAGCTCAACACTCAACAGACAAAATATTTAATATTTATAATGTTAAGCGTTATCAAAATCTATTTAAAATTGAAATCATTTTTTGATAACAACATCATACTCACTGGCCATGGCCGTAGATAATTATTATCTACAGCCGTTAGCCGGTCGGCCACAGTCACGGCACTGAATCGGTGAAATTCAACTCTTCTCTGGTCACAGCACGAACTACTACATGTAGGTTACATTTGCCTATTACATGTAGTAGTTCGTGGGTCACAGTCTCGAACCGTTGTAATCTATTCTGTGCTCGAACATAGACATAATATAGATAATAATAATCTATATTATGTCTACGGTATAGATGAACGAATGGATCTTCGCAGGAAAGAATTTTTCGGATCTTTTTTTTAAAAATCGAAGAAATCTTCTACAACCCCACTGATGTGCTTAAAACTATCTAACTGTCCGAAATTTGATCTTTACTGATCAAAAATCTAAATAGGACAGTGGACTTGGGAGGGAGGACAGGGGTGCAGATCGCAAGTTGCGATTCGCAATATGAAAATAATTTAAATGTATTTATTATATTAATTAATTGAATACATAATTTTTAGTAATTATGATAACGTAATAAATACCTGTGTATAGCATTCCGAATGTGATCACCTGGTATACCTAAAGAAATTTGACATTTGTGATTTTTTAAATTTTTTAATACTTAGGTAGGTATTCTAAAATATGTGTCGATCACATAATATGTACCTATACACATATTTAGCTCGGTCAAATCTTTAAAAATGTAAAACAAGGTTACCTCATAAATAGGACAGAGGACTTGCAGCATTTGCATAGGTATTTGTTTTACACGATCACGAAAATAGTAGAATAAGAAACACATACGTTTTATTTTATGCTAAGACAAAGCTAGTTTTATAATTGTATGCTGCATATAAATGCATGTTCTTTTGCTTTTAGTGCATATTTCTTTCATTTTATACTTTTCAATACATATATTTTAATAAATTAGGTAATAAGTTGGTGCATAGTTTGGTTATAAAGTTCAACCAAATCATAGTAAATAAGTAATTTCTAAATACTACCTATAGTGACGATGAAACTAAAGGGGGTAAACAGCAAAGAACGTGGCAGTTTACTAAGAAATGCGACAAGCAATGTTGTCAAATTTAAATAGATAGTTTGTATACCAATATTGAATACCAAAATAAGTAAGTTATAAGTCACTATACATTATTATGAACTAAGCTAGAGTGTTACAACTTATTATAGACCATAATATTTAACAATGTCGAAGAATCGAGAAAAAATCAAAATTGTTAATTACTATTATAACCGGAAGTTTCCCCTACCTAATATATAATATGCACTTCACCAGATTTCTGAATCCACGTCGATCTTCTTAGAACAGCCACCACCAAGCTCGGCAATCTCATCTAATAACCTTTCTGCCAGTCTGACCGTCAAGTCTAAAGTTCCTCCTACAGTCACCATCTCGTCCAGGGCACACCTCGGTCTGCAACCAAGCTTTCTAGCCCGCGAACCGCCCGGCCGAGGATTATTTTTTAATTGAATTACAACAAGTATAAAAAAAAAATTGTCAGCAATTTCACTACTTTAAAAGGGGCTTTTCATAAAGTAAACTATATACTATTATACGACGGCATTCCCGTACGTGCGCCAATGGTTGTGACGTTATCACTTTTCAATAGGTCATAGTTATATATGAGAAATACCACCGGGTAAATCGGCGGCACACTGAGAGGGGATGGAGAGGGAGAAGAAGCTCTGATACCAGAACCCCACAGCAAATTTTAGACGTTTTTAGTTTTAGATAAAAATCTATTTGATACAATATTACCTGGCGCACATATCCACAGAACGAACTCATGAACGAGGGCCGCCATGCGGGCGATTGTGGTCCTTCGGCATAGTCTGATTTTCAGACTAGTCCTCTATAGCTGCTCCTGATCCTGCTCCTGCAGTGACTGCTGATACTGCATACCATAGTCATCGCCGTCGAGCACACTCAAATCCTCTTGTTCAGTCGCGAGAGCAGTGCCGGTTGAACCGCAGTCGGTCGTACATTGTAGTGTACTCGCAGCCCAACTAGAACCCACTGCAGGCTCGGCGCCTGGTCCGCAAATCCTCTTGTTGTCGTGCAGTATGTCCGTAAGGTGGAAATGGACATCCCCTGATCTCACACCAGAGTTTCTACCCAAAGGTTTGCCAAATGAAGTGATCGTCGGCCAAAAGCTGCTGCAGTGTTTTAAAAATATCAAAGTTTAGTAAAAAATAAAAAATAAATGTAAAGATTTATATTGATTATATTTTGTGTAATCAGTGACTTGTATTTTACATATATTATTTCTAAACTCGAAGTTTAAATTTGGACAAAATTCAATGTTTAAAAGAAAATCAACGGTTTTAGTTATTTGGTTAAAAAGATTTTTTGTGAGGATTTGAAACTTGTGTATTTTATTATATTTTAAATACACAAAGACACATTTTTCATAACACTTATAACGTTTTTATTATTTGGATAAGATAAATGCAATTAAAGTTATCAGCTTGGGAACATTAGGTTTTCTTTGTTTTTTCATTTAATTATTAAAAACTATCGGTTAGTGCTATCAAATGAATAAAAACACTACAACACATCATATAAAGTTCGTCCCTTCATCCTATGTGTAGTGGAATCGTAAACAGGGGGAGTACAGTTGTTCCGCGTTTTTGTTATGTTATACATTTGTAAGACGAAGACAACACAATATGCGGGTGTAGCTCTTTTGTACGATTAGTTTTAATTGTATTTTGGTATGTTATCCAAATAAAAACTCTACGACACAGAAGTATAAACCGGAGGGAGAGAGGCAAAGTCAAAAACCTCTGATAGCACAGCACATTTTATCTTACGATAGATAAAACGATTAATAATTAGAAAAATATCAGGGTCGCCCCCCCCCCTGCGGGTGCCCGTGGACACAGAATATATAAAGTTCTTCACTATGAGTTGTGGAATATTGGTAATTCTACAATAAATACAGAGGGAGTATAGTAAGTTGTCCTTGTCCTGCAATCCGTGAAGAACAGTTTTTGCTATTTTTTACGACGGAGGCTACACATGCGGGTTTAGGCGTCCCCTCAAACCGTACTTTTATTTTTTTCTAATACTTTGATAACTCGAACGTCTAATTCATGATAATTCGAAGGAATGCCTTGAGCACGTATATTTCAATAATATGTACGTACAATTTTTTCTGTGACTCGAATTGTCGATAACTTGAATTTTTTTTCTCCAACCGACTCGAGTTATCGAGGTTTCACTGTATTATGGTAAAAAAACATACCATAATACAAATTAATAGCGATACATTTATTTGATAATAGACTGACAAAATATCGTCTCCGATCATACTGTACTGGAGGAGCAGGTTACATATTCGCTTTTTTTTTCTTACGCATTTTCTTCGCAAGTACCCAAAAAAATATAAATTGAATTTTGTGATTTCCATAAAAAAAAAATATTTTTGGTACCAGAGCCCTAGGAAATACATGGATACAGAATGAATTATTTCCATAAGGTTGCCTATCTAAAACGCACTGTGATGTATTATTGTGTGTAATTTAATATATTTAATTCATTTTATCATATTATTTTTAAATATACCATTATTTAGTAATATATATAAGCGTAAAAAAGCGACCTAGTTTCTACTTATATAGGTTATAAGAATTTGTATGCACTTAAACGTCTAAAAACAAAAATCACGTACTTAACAGTTGACTTACATGTAAAATATAATCATTTGTTTAAAAATAGTAATTAAATACAGTGGCGTCATTTCAGACATAAGATTGTAGAAAATATCCCCTCCTCGAATTACGGCACTGATCGCCTACTTATAAGTAATTACTGAAAGTGTAAACAGTGTATCAAATTGCTAATTACTTTCAAAATTCAAATATATCAACGAAATATAAAAAAATAATGCTTTAATGCATAATATTTTAATAATATGTAGACTAACAATTAAGTGTCGCGCTGCAGTAAAGAATTCACAATTCATATAATTAAAAAACAATGCTGATTATGAAAATAACCAAAACATATACTACTACCTATATTATATTATCAACTATACTATAATATGACAGTCTAAAAAATTCTAAATTTTTTCAGAAATATCTTATTTGTTGTCGTTCAGTCGACATGTGTGCGCACGATTTCCTTTCGCTCCGTTATCTCGCGTAGTAGTAAAACCGCTCTCTTAAACATTTTATGGTTGAATTATACGTATATCAATCAGCCGCTCTATAATCGACTTAAAGTTGCCATATATTATCTAAAATTTTTGAAAGTATTACATAGGACCAATAATTTTTTTGCCCTGGCCTTTGTGGAACGTCGGAAATACATAATAGAACTAATTGTCGTTCGGTAAGAAAAACAAAAACTTTTTGATACATTTTTTTTTTAATCTTATTATATCACGTGGTGTATTTGCGAGGGAGAAAAGGCCAGCGTGAGGTCCCGACCCCTGACCCTCAATTGATATCCAATATAGTCAAATTTCTGTTCCCAGTTGATTAAATCACCGTAAGTTGTCACGGACTGTGGATCGTAAATTTTTATCTTGGTCCGTGGCCGTTATCAAAAAACAAAAATTTTATCTGAAATATATTATCATTTATCATTATATGAATGTCATATTGTCGCATACACATTTTGTTTAATTAATAACGAATATCTCATACATTTAATCGGCGATTTTCCTCGCTCAAGTGAAAATATTATATATTCTTTCATGGGCAGATAGGCCTATCCACCCATAGGGAAATTGGGATTTTTCTACCCATCAATATTATACTCTGCGTCTCTACAGTGGCCCCAATCCCGAAAAATTAAAAAAATATTTTAAGAATATAAAAATTAATTTTAAAATACCGGTTGGTGGCTGTACAGTGTATATTAATGGGTATTTGTAATAATTGAGAAACAACCAACAATAACTGTTTGCCTCACTGAACAAAACATTTT